CACTAGATTTCTGCTGGAAGATACAGTGGTTTCTTATTTGTTTCATTATCCTTTGTGCCTGGTATGAAGTAGTGTTGCTCTGTGGGCATTTCAGTGCATGGTAAATTGAATAATGTATGATGGATGGATGATGGAGAGGTGGATGGATGGATGGATGGATGGATGAATGGATGAAGAGATGGATGGATGGATGGATGGATGGATGGATGGATGAAGAGATGGATGGGTGGACAGGTGGATGGATGGAGAGATGGATGGATGGATGGATGGATGGATGGATGGATGGTGAGAGGAATGGGTGGATGGATGGATGGAAGAAGGTATGGATGGATGGAGAGATGGATGGGTGGACAGATGGAAAGATGAATGAAGTGGTCTCTATCTTCAGCTGTCCACATATGGAATGTCTCCCACAGCTCCATTACCTTAAGGGGCATTACTCTATTACTCAGAAAATCCAAAGACATCCTAACCTGGTCTAGCCCATTCTATTCATGCAAACAGTTTTCATCACGTCAGCAAGTCATTTTTTTTTAAACTAAATCAAGGGATTGTTCTCTCATAGAGGCAACTTGGGACCAATGCCTCTGTTGCTATGTATTCAGTAGACTCCTTAATTATTATTCAATGTTTATTTATTAAATAATTTAACCAAAAGTCACTGCGTATGTACTATCCCACCCAAGGTGGTTGGCCAGTAAGGTGATTCCAGTTGGTGAACTTGTATCATCACATATGGGGAAATATTCTGTGTGGGTAGGGGACACTCCTAGAGGGTGTTGACATGACTAAAACATCTCTCCGGTCCTCGAAGGTCATGGGATTTCCTTGGAAGAAGGAAAGTATATGTATGCTTGTAGATGAATTGAACGGTATGACTTTAGACAACCAGAAGTGGTCAGGACAGGCTTCCTGGAAGAAGTGATTTGGTTTTTTTTTTAAAACCTTGGACTTAAAGCAGAATTTCTTAACCTAAAGTCCAAGATCAAGCCTCAGGAACTCTATACTGTGAAATTATGATCAAAGAGCTAAGAGAGTGTGAGAGAACCACCCTGATTCACCTAGCCTCCCATCCTGGCCTCCCTGACTTTGTCAAATAGCGGATGAATGGATGATGCGGTTCGACTGTGCTCAGATGGAGAACAACTTCCTGCGGAAGCGTCTACAGCAATTTGAAGAGAGGCTGGACTCCGAGTTGACATCCAGGAAAGAGCTGGAGCAGAAGGTAAGAGGTCGTAGCTAGTCTGGGTCCCAAGAATGTCAGATTGGGCAGGTTCCTACCTCCACCGTTCAAGGTATTGGCCGAACCCAGGGAGGGAGAAAGAGAGCACCCCCATTTCATGTTTTGGCACCTCCACTGTTGTTACAAATGCGAGTCGCTGCGGGAGGTGGGAAATACTTTGTCTACGTGTGCGTGTTCTGCATGGGGAAAGAATACTCTGGATTAAAGAACCTCAGATCTTGGGCCTCAGATCTTCTCTTCTATAAAATGATTTTAATAAGCCCTTAGAATAGTCAAATCTTATCCATTCCCTTTGCCTCAATCTGCCACCTCCATCTCTCATCTAGACCAGAGCAACAGCCTCCTGCCTGGTCTCCTTGCCTCCAGCCTCTCCCCTCAACCACCTGCCACCCTGCGGCCAAGAGATCTTTCAGAGTCTCTTTCAGACTGTTCTGTCTTTGCAAATTACGCTGACTCTCAGGGCGGATCGTTTTCTTGAGTGTTTTGTCAGTTTTGATTGTGAGCTCATCTTCAACATGCCCCTCTACTCCTGCCACGGGAACCCCAGGTGGTCCGCATGGTGGAATGTTCCTTTTGCTTCCTGTCTTACGGTGAATTGTGCGTGTGTGTGTGTGTGTGTGTGTGTGTGTTTCATTATTTTGTATTGTCAGTTGATCTTACTTTGAAATTTTTAGAAACTTTTTACTGCTTTTCATGGCAGTTCTGTTTACAGGGTTGTGAGTGTCTCTCTCGAGATGGGACACTTTTGCCTTGTCTTCTACAGCAGCCCCTGAGACTATGTGACATTCTCTCTGTTTCAGACTGTTGCAACTTGTGCCAGGTGCCACTTGGAGCTTTAAACCCCCCTGAGGCACAGACCCGGGGTTTGGATTTCTTAGGGGAATACTTTCTCCCCCGCCCAGAGCCAGAGTGCACCAGGTTTTGTGACCACCTTCCAGGCCAGTGGGTGGATCATTTCCTGTCCCCTTGCCCCAAGGCCCAGGTCTTTGAGGGTCCTGAATGAATGCAGGGATATTCATTCCAACTTTTCATCTTCTGTGCCCCCGAGGCTTTGTCTCTCGTCCCTGTCTGGCCATTCAAACACAGCCATTATCTTCAGTGTTATTTCTGGATCTTTCTGCAGCTCGTCTTCTCCTCCACCCTGTCTGCCAGAGTATCAGCGTCCGCGATTACTGCTTTCGTTTTGTGTCCTTTGCATTTTGGGTATCCCCAAATTTCCCTTTCTTTCTTGAATGTGCAGCTGCATGCTAAAAATATAATGTATTTGTCCCTCGTGCTCTCTAGGTGAATGGAGGGATAGTTTGACCACTTTGCTGTGTTGCGTTGTCTCCAACTACCCCTATTTGTACATTCTGACCAGTCTACCCTTCAACTAGCGGTGTGCTGGCAACCGGCCCTCTGAAAATAAACACCCCGAAGGGTAGCGTTTGCCAATTTCCAATGTCCATGGCATAAATATTCCCACAGGGGACAGTTTCCACCTACCATTGTGATATCACTGGCTGTGGAACTGGGAGGAGAATCCACTCTCCTAAGTGGGTATAGCAGCCCTAGCACACCGGGTCCAACCACACTCACGTGTTTAAAGCCCATAGCCAAATAGAGCGGAAGGTACTCTCCCATGATTCCCCTTTACAGCCTCCTGCATGGTCAACATCCCCCACCAGAGTGGTCCACTTGATACAATGCATGAACCTGCATTAACACACCATCATCACTCAAAGTCCATAGTTTATGTTGGGTTCCCTCCTGCCGTTGTACGTTCTGTGGGTTTAGACAAATGTATAATGGCATGTATCCACCATCGTAGCTTTATAGAGTATTTTCACTACCATAAAAATCCTCTCCGCTTTATCAGTACACCCCTCTACCAATTCATCCCTCCATACTTTTGCCTTTTCCAGAATGTCCTATAGTTGGAATCCTACAGCATGTAGACTTTTTAGACTGGCTCCTTTCACTTAGTAATGTGCATTTAAGTTACCTCCACATCCTTCCGTAGCTTGATGGCTCATTTTTAAAAAAAATTTTTTTTGAGAGAGAGAGTGAGAGCAGGGGAGAAGGGCAGAGAGAGAGAGAGAGAGAGAGAATCCCAAGCAGGTTCCATGCTCAGTGCAGAGCCCCATGCGGGGCTCGGTCCCAGGACCACGAGATCGTGAGCTGAGCCTAAATCGAGTTGGATGCTCAACCAACGGAGCCACCTAGGCACCCCGATAGCTCATTTCTTTCTACCGCTAAGATCTTTGTCCCATTTTTAAAATTGAGTTGTTTTCTTGTTGGATTTAAGTGTTCTTTGTATAATTTTGATAACAATTTTCTATCTGACAGGCTTTTTTGCAAATATTTTCTCCCAGTCTGTGGCTTGTCTTTTCATTTTCTTGATTGTGTCTTTTGCAGCATGGAATTTTTTAAAAATTTTAATGAAGTCCAGCTTATAAACTTTCTTTCATGGGTCATGGCTTTTGTGCATTTCTAAAAAGTCACTGCCAGGGGCGCCTGGGTGGCTCAGTCGGTTAAGCACCCAACTTCGACTCAGGTCATGATCTCGAACTCCGTGAGTTCAAGCCCTGTGTCAGGCTCTGTGCTGACAGCTCAGAGCCTGGAGATTGCTTCAGATTCATTCTCTCTCTCTCTCTCTCTCTCTCTCTCTCTCTGCCCTTCCACTGCTCATGCTCTGTGTCTGTCACTCAAAAATAAACATTAAAAATGTTTTTTAAGTCATTGCCAAACCTAAGGTCATAAAGGTTTTCTTCTACATTATCTTCTGGGAACTTCAAGGTTTTGCATTTTACATTTAGGTCTATGATCCATTTTGAGTTAATTTTTGTGAAGGGTGTGAGATCTGTGTTAAGATTCTCTTTTTTTTGCATGTGGATGACCAGGTTGTCCCAGTATCGTTTGTTGAAAAGACTGCTTGGCTCATTGTATCAGCTTCGCCCCTTTGTGAAAGACCACTTGTCTAGATTTCTCTGAGTCTATTTCTGGGCTGTCTATCCTGTTCCATTGCACTGCCTTGTTCTTCCTCACCTCTGGGCCTTTGCACATGCTGTTTCCTTTTCCTAGAATACTCTCTCTCTCCTACCTGGATACTTTCAACTATCTTTAAGATCTGAGCTTACATGTCCTTCCCACCAGAAAGTCTCCCCTGATACAGATTGTTTGGGTGCCTCTGAATTGGGTCCCCAAGTATAAACCTCATCATGGTGTATTGTAATTATCTGCTTACTTCTTGGTCCCTCCCCACCTTTAGTCGTAAGCGCCTTGAAAATGGAGGCCATATTTGCCTGTCTTGCCATTATCTATATCTATATTTACATCTATATCTATATCTATATCTATATCTACTCTATATCTATCTCCTCAGTGTGAGAGAAAAGCGTTGTGTAATCACCTGCAGAGGTGGGCCAGGGTGAGATCACATGGGATTTGATAAATAATGGCAGTGAAACTCAGGATCCTCCATGGTGTTGATGGTTTTAGTGGTCACTTCCCAGAAGGGCATTATGTCTACTCCCCAAGAACATCCTGAGCTGTGGCTAAACCCAACTGCAGGAAAATAGCACAGTTCTTTAATAACAAATTGTAAAGGCGGGTCAGGTTCCCCAAGGAATGGGGGGGGGGGGGGGCGCCCAATTCATGCTGCATTAAAAAGTAATAAAGCTGCAACCTTTCCTGAGCAGCAGAATATAAGAAAACATCCCATTTGCCATCAAATACTGAATTTAGAATTACAGGCTTCATTAACTCAGAGTTTTGCTTATTTAAAGAAATTCTTTAATGAGGCCATTTCTTCAAAGCGAGTGTGCTGAGTTGTCCTCTCTCCCAGATTCAAACGAGGACATTGGGGGGGGGGTTCCTCGAGAAAGATGCAAGAGGCTTTGCTTTTCTGTTTGTTCACGGTCATGTGTATCCCCGTGTAATTCATCCCGTCGGAAGGGCCATTTACTGCTCTAACCTTCAGAGCCCATCTGTCAGATCTCCTGGCCAGATCTTCTACGGCCGCCATTTTGGCTGCTCCATGGCTAATCCCCACATGGGCTCTGGGATGATGCCGGCTGCTGGGGTTATTAGGTATACAGCCCTCAGTCTTCCTTTGGAGGCAGGGCTTGTAAAGACTCTATGGGGCACCTTGGCAGGAAGATTATTGAGTAAAATTGAAAACAACCTTGAGAGACTGATGGAATCACCCCCGCCCCCTTCTCACCTCTTGAGCAGACGGGGTCAGAGAAGTAGCTTCCTCCCTGGGAAACAGGCAGAAAGTGGTCAAGACAGGGTCTCTCCGACCCCAGTACCTGTTCTCTTTCCCACTGTGCTCACCTCAGAAATGGCAGCTGCTTGAAATAAGAAGTAGACAAGGGAAGGGAAACAAAAATACTATAAAAACAGGGAGGGGGACAAAACAGAAGAGGCTCATGCATATGGAGAACAAACTGAGGGTTGCTGGAGGGGTTGTGGGAGGGGGGATGGGCTAAACGGGCAAGGGGCACTAAGGAATCTACTCCTGAAATCATTGTGGCACTAGATGCTAACTAATTTGGATGTAAATTTTAAACAATAAAAAATGAAATTAAACATAAATAAATAAAAACGCTGTTGTGATTAAAGAAAAGAAGAAGAAGAGGAAAGCCCGTCGAGTGCGGGCGGAGAGGGGTAGCTCATTCTGCGACTCACTCCCACAGCTCGGGGAGCTGCAGAGCGCTTATGAAGGGGCCAAGAAAATGGCTCACCAGCTAAAGAGGAAGTGCCACCATCTGACCTGCGACCTGGAGGACACCCGCCTCCAGCTGGAGGACCAGCAAAGCCGGAGTCACGAGCTCGAGAAGAAGCAGAAAAAGTGAGTTGGGTCTCACGCCGTCGCTGGGCTCCAGGGTGGGCTGCGTCAATGCTGGGGCCTCCTGGGGGTCTCCGGATTCTCCTCCTCAGCCCCCTCACTCCTGTCGGGGCTCCTCATCCACAAGGTGGAACCCCTCACCCCTCGTTCTGCCCCCACTTTCCTCCCCACCCCTCACACTTACTCCTGGAGGCTTCTCCCAAGCATGCAGCAAAAAGCCATTCTTTTCTGTTCCCCAGTCTCGCTCTACAACCAATCGACCGTGTGACCTTGGGGAGCTTTCTTGGCCTCTCTGGGCCTCAGCACCCCCCTTTGTCAAGTGAAGAGATGGCCGTGGAGGGCGAGGACACCCGAGCACGGTGGGCAGGAGAGCAAGGGCTGATGTCAGACCACCCCAGTTCAAGTCCGAGCTGTGCCTCTCTCTAGTTGTATGACCTTGGAGAAGTCATCCAACCCCCTCAGCCTCAGTTCCTTACCCTTAGGTGGGGGATGGGAATGCCCCATTGTAGCGAGGACTAAGTGATGGGGTTGGTAGGCTCGACAGACTGAATCCCGGCTCCTAGCCCCGTTGCGGAAAATGGGGCCAGAGAATGGGGGGGGGCCCCAAATCGACTCACTTCCCTTTTCAGTCGGCACTTAGGCTCTCAGATCACATGAGCACTTCTGGCGTAGGCGGGGCCCTGTGCATGAACGAGATGCCAGCCTTGAAGCTGCACCCTGCACTCTGGTTCCCACGCTTGCTTTCCCGTCGGGATGTGGTCATAGCTCAGCAAATGGTAGAGCCTAGACTGGCACCCATGAGTTTGCACATGCGAAACCTCAGTGCCTGTGCTCATCTAATCCCTGGACACCCTGGCTGTGCCTGACTTCTGCAGCTTTGCTGGTGAGGGTGATGGTGTGCAGGGAGGGGTCCTGTCTGGAGTCAGACCACCTCTAATGATAGACGAGACACAGTCTCTTTCAGACAGTCTGGACTAAAAATACTGGAAAATGTGACTAGGATGTGGTTTTGCTCAAGGCACTTCTTTTCCAAGAGGTGGCAAGCTGAATTATATTTTCATGGGAGGGGCACGGATTTTGAACTTGGGTCTGCATAATTAAATATTCTTCCTGTATGGGGCGCCTGGGTGGCTCAGCTGGTTGAGCATCCGACTTCGGCTTGGGTCATGATCTCCCGGTCTGGGAGTTCGAGCCCCACGTCGGGCTCTGTGCTGACAGCTGGGAGCCTGCTTCTGATTCTGTGTCTCCCTCTCTCTCTGCCCCTCCCCCGCTCACGCTCGCTCTCCTTCAAAAAATAAATAAACATTAAAAAAATTGTTTTAAATATTCTTTCTCTCACTCTGAGCTTTTCTTTTTTCTTTTTTTTAAGTTCATTTATTTCGAGAGAGAGAGAGCACGAGCAGGGGAGGACAGAGAGAGGGAGAGAGAATCCCAAGCAGGCTCCGCACTCTCAGTGCTGACCCAGGCACGGGGCTAAGACCCACAAACTACAAGATCCTGACCTGAGCCGAAACTGAGAGTCAGATGCTTAACTGACTGAGCCACCCAGGTGCCCTATCACGTTGATCTTTACTGAGCTGACTTCTTCATGTGAAAACAAAAAGTCTTTGGGGGGTCGTTAGCATGCCCCCCTCAAATGAGAGAGGTTATTTAATCTTTTATTGATAATCTGACTCTGTTTCCTTTTCCACCTGCCTGGGTATTCTGGCTGAACCTTGTCCTTGCAGTGGGGAAAATGGCTTTGTCTTTCCTTGGCCAGTTCCTGTGTGACCTTGTCAAATGATACCACCTCTCTGGGCCAGAGAGACCGATGTTTCAGAGGAGTCCTTGACTTAAGCAGGCCACCTGTTGCTGAATAATAGCTCCGACAGACCCTATCTGCAAACTGAGAGGTGGGGACTCTAACATCCCCTGAGTTTCTGCCAGCTGTGACAGCGTTGGCTTTCATCTGTGGTTTCTGTTCCTGTTCTGAGAGGCTCTAGGTAGGGTTTCCGCTCTCTGAGGGGTCTGGGGGCTCTCTGTGGAGGTTATGCAGCCAGAAAATTCCATCTCTCTGGTCGTTCCCGACCCCCTTGGTCAGAATCTTTCATTCCAGGCTCTCAAGAACCTCCCCATGGCGCCCTCCTGGGAAAGATCCCATTTCTTCCTTCCAAGACTTACCTGTCCTGTGATGCTTCCCTACCCCTCTACCATCCCCTGGAAGAAGTTAATTCATGTTTTGACGCTCGTTGCAAATGGCAGCCATTTTTCTTCTAGGTGGTCCAGCAATATAGCGGGGAGGCTAGAGGCCTAAGTAGGAATCTGGGCAAAATAACCATAGGGAGGGAAAGATCTAGAAGTCAGCAATGCTTCTTCATAATCTCTCCAACTTTAATCAAATCGTAGAGGTAGCCGCCTCCTTAGTTTGCTGAGCCCTGGATGGACTGATGTCTCCATGCAGGGGGGTTCCCTGTCCCCAACGTGGTTTCCAAGTTCAGAGTGGCCCAAAGTGGCTCCATCTGGGCTTGGCTAATCGTTGCCACGGTTACCCCATGGGTCACAGAGCTCGGTTCCGAGGGCCGATGGAGCTCCGAGCCTGTCTCCTTGGGGTGGGGCCTGTGCTGGGCTCACCAACTCCCACACATACTGGAAGTTAGACCCCAGGCCTGCTTCTAGTGGGGTGAGGCATGTGTGTGAATCCCTCTGGCCTCAGGCAGGTGGTCGTTCAGTGTGTTCCAGAAGCTGGAGTCCATAGGAGCCATTCTTTGGCATCGGGTGGCCTGTTAAGTCAAGGTCTCCTCTGAAACATCGGTCACTGTCTGGCCCCCACTGCCTTATCCCACCTGCCCCAGTTAGATGGGGGACTAGCTGCGACAGTAGAGAAGCTGGGCTCAAGCCCACCTCGGCCACTTTGGAATTTAGGGACGAATCGCTCTGCCTCTCTGAACTTCAGTTTCCTCTTCTATAAAATGGATGTCATTACATGTTTCTTGCTGAATTGTTATAAAGACCACATGGACCTCAGCCCAGAGCCCGGCACCTTGGGACTCCTGGGTCATTATCACCATCACAACGTTTCCATTCACAGGGGCAGCCAGGGGGCGCCTCTTGAATGATGTCACCAATGGCCAGTCAGAAAACTCCTGGGCTCTTCCAACAGGAGGGCCCCCTCCTGTGACCCATGATCGGCTTTCTCAGGAGTCTGAGGCTTTGAATGACCATCTAGCTTTAAGATACATTGGATAATCTTGTAACAAGGGGGACTTTCTTCTCACTAAGACCCCAACCCCATGCCCAGTGGCACTTTCTGTGTGGGCCAAGGGCAGGTGACCAAGATCACATCTTATTGAGGCTTGCCAAAGCCTCCTGTACTGATCTCCTCATCTGTGATAGGGATATAGGACCAAGGTAACTGCATGGAATGATATCGAATCCAGGAAGTTCTTCTCACCCAGTGGTGAGGGGCAGGGAGCCCCCAAATGAGGCATTTCCTAATTCCCTGGCCAGCCCCCAAGAGGACAGGCTAGTCTTCGTGGTTTTTTTTTTTCTGAGATGACAAATGAGGACCCCACCGAATGTATTAATGTCCAACCTTTTATCAGTAATTACAGTGCTCTAACGCAACGTATGCGTGCCCAAACCAGATGATATAGAGGGGGCGAAATGTGAAATATCTCTTGTTTGTGCAGATATATGCATTCACTCCTTCACGGGTCAATGAGTGCGAGACCCCCCCCCCCAACCTAGGTCTTGTAGATTTAACAATTTCCTGGCATATATGGGCAAACCAGATAGGTGCGATTTTTCTATCGCTTTGTAAGGTTTTTTTTAATTCTTTTCCCGTATCTGTATATACTTTTATTCTATTATTTTTACTTATGCATGTTGTGTTTTATGTAAGTCTCCGCTACCTTTGCCGAAACTCCACGTGAACCCTAAAAGTTGCTCTCTGGCGTTGCAAATTTCAACCGCACGTCCGCAACCTTACGCAAAAGCACGGAGCAAAACCTCCCGTCGTCTGGGGCCCCCTCTCTCTGCCTCACGGTTCTCAGCAAGCTAACCACCTCTCTCCAGCCCTCCTCGTCCTCCGCCCCAGTGCCATGACATCTGCTCTGCTTGAACAGGTTTGACATGCAGCTGGCCCAGGCCCTGGGTGAGTCTGTGTTTGAGAAGGGTCTTCGAGAGAAAGTGACCCAGGAGAACACCAGTGTCCGATGGGAACTGGGCCAGCTTCAGCAGCGGTTGAAGGTAAGGGATGGGGTGGAGTTGGGGGGGGGGCACAGGGAGCCATCTTGGCTCTTAGTTGCTGGCTTCCGGGAACCTCCCCTGCCCCCGCCATTCCCTGCCATGCACCTGCAGTAAATAGTGACGGGGAGAGAACTCTGGGGGGGGGGGGGGTATGCTGGTCTGCCCGCCAGCTGGGGTCATGGATCCCAGGGTGCCCTAACACAACAAAAAGTAGTTGAGATATTGATAATGAGATCTCCCTAGCACTCTCAAGGTGCCCACCTGGCAGGCGGGAGAGGCTGGGCAAAAAGGAGGTTGTTGTCACCCCACCCAGGGGCACGATGCAGGCTTCCAGCACAGAGGGGTTTTATTAAAGTACAACACAGGCACCTTACTCATTTGTTCCTCACCCTTCTGTGGCTCCCTGCTACCCCTAAAAGCGCTCTCAGCCTGAAATTCAGCTCCCTCTCGATCTAGCCCAAAGTTCTTTGGCCTCGGAGCTGACTCTCTAACTTGAACGAGTCATTTCTGGACACCTTGCCTCTCTGCCCCAATGTCTGCATCCCAGCCTCGGCAGATACCCAGCTTACAAATGGACAAACACTCCCTTTATGTGCTTTGAGGCCCAACTCTGGGGGGGTGGTGGTAACTGCTCCCCCAAAAGGCCTCCACCCGTGCTGTGTGAGCTGTCCCAGGGAGCAGCTCTTGGTATCCCACGGCGGGGTGGGGGGGTGGGGGGGCTTCTGGGGCTGCCAGGCCAAGGTAGGGATGTCAGGCGGTTCCCTGGTGGAT